GCTTGGGGACGAATTGAGAATCAATCAACTAGGAAAGAATTCCGTGGGGGACGAATTGAGAGTCAATTAAGGGGGGACGAGTTGAGTTAATTGGTAATGGGGACCAACCGAGAGGATCCCAATTCGATAATTAAATCATCATATGTACCGGAATTTGATGTTGATGGCATACCTTCATTTGATACACGTTGTTTAAATCCCGGTCTAATAAAAAACAAAACAATTCCTTTTTTAGAACAAGTTCATTTTCTTACGTAACAATTTCATTAATATACCCAGGCCAATGATTCCCGAGGGCAGATACTGGAGGTGCCGACCGAAAATGTGTGGAAAAATTACCGGAATCCATAGGAAAAAAATCCGGTAATTTCCGGCCGGAATACTGCTTCCACTTTCCAGCAATATCCCGTGCTTTCCGGTCGTTTCCCACCGTACCTCTACTACCTGGGAGATGGAGAGGTTTCTTGGTTATTTATATAGCAGTGTGTGTCGAGATCAAATTTCTTTCGACCATATCTAAAGAATATTTTTAGGTCATTTTCCACAAAAAATTCAAGGAAAATGACTTATGATAATAAGTAGAAGTGAATATATTTATATATCTAGCTACCTAGCCACAAATCGAATAATAGTTTTAAAAATAAAAATGTTGAAACGGAGAAAAGACACATTCTCCAAAGAGGAAATAGCTAAAATCAAATTTTCTTGATATAAAATTGATTAAAAATCCGAAAAATCAGCTGTTTCGTTCTTGTAAAAATAATATCAAATTTTAACTTTTACGATTAACATGGACGTCAGACAAAAGGAGCCGGAAAAATTTTAGCAAACAAACAAACTTTTTGAACATTGTACATTCAAATATATACGAAGAAAAATACTGTCCGAATTCATATTGAAAACTTGGATATCCTGTTTTTCATACAACCATTTTGTTTATAACGTGCTCAAAAACTTGGAAAAGAACGGTTTTTAGTGATCAAACAGTTTTCTGCAAAAAAGACGAGTTTGCTGAGACACAGTTGAATTTTAAAATACTTTTAAGAATGCGTTAGAATTAGGACATGTACTATTTTGACGCGAAAAAAAAAAGAGACATCTCAATCTAACGATTTCATTACGGAACTCTAGTTAAATTTTAAAACATTTTTGATGAAGATTTCAAATATAAAATAAACTGCTGGAATGGAAATAGAAAATCAAATTTTTCAATTCATCTGTCCAACCAGTCATTCGATAGGTATTTCAATGTGTCGATTTTATATTTCGAAGGACATCGAAATCTTATATAGAAGCCTTAAAGTGTCACTTTCTGATCCATCGATGGTTCCACGATGAATTCTATCTGCTGATATCTTTCGACTATTCGAATGATTATTTTAGAGAGAATCAAAACAATCAAAATAAATAGAATTTTTTTTGAGTTTCAAGTCATTGAAATCTATTAAGTATACGGAAGCGAGATGTGACTCTTTCTTTTCATCAGTTCATATTTACCTTTAGATGTTTCACCACGAACAACAATCCTATATTTTAGTTCTTCTGCATCATCGAATTTCCACAGAGTGCCCGCGTTGAAACCGACAACGCGATAATTTTTTGCAGCGTTGATCAAACGTAGAGAAGCACTATCAGGAAGACCAAATTCAAATTTGATATCGTCAAGTATTTCTCCCAAACCAACATCTTTGTGCCAAAATATTCGTCATTCTACATTCTGATATTCGAATGCAACCATTTTGTATTCTGTAATTTCTGTCTCTAAATATGTAGAAAGGAGAATCAATTAGAAAGAAATATCGGGAAATAAACAAAGAAAATTTACAAACAAAGTATCAAAAGATAAAAATGACATAGTTCCTACTGCGCACGCATTAGCCATAAAAATTATCAAAAACTCAAGCATTTTAATGGTGCTTCAATGTAATAGGAGCAGGTTGATTCTGGAAGGATATTTTCAAGAGAGAATAGGAGAATGGATTTGAAATTCACTGAATTATAAAGAAAGACAAACAGATGATGCCACCAATGAAGTCGCACAAAATGTCGGTTAACTCCGATGTGAAAAGGCGAAAACTAGAAATAGGAGCGCAAGAATATGTGGCAGATCTACATGAAGGCCATTTGATAACGAGTGGGAGCAGAGAATCTGACGTGGTCTAACGTCCGAAAAAGCAGCTTTAGAATTTTTACTCTATTGCCTTATAATTCTGACTGAACATGTCTTCTTTGTGACTGGAAACTTATCGAAGTGCACTTCCTTTATTTAACCGGACAACTTGGTAGATTGTTGCTACCGTTGTTTAATGATTGGATATTAATTTTGTTTATTTCAGTGCTATCATCATATTTTTTGCGGCAAGAACAAATATCTCATTCAACGCAATCCATTTGATTAATTCAAAATTATGAAGGATTTTTAGCTAGAAAAATTTCTTGAAGGATGAAAATTGTCACGATCTGTGCCATAAACTATAATGTTATCCTTTATTTTTTTTTCGTCTTTTTCTCTTTCTCTGCTATGGAGAGAAATGTTTTTCTATCATTGCCTATTATTTAAGAGTAATTTTAACTGAAGTTTCTTACGGAATATTGAAACCAATGATTAAATCGAATTACCATTGCATTTTTTTACTCACAATGGAAGGGTGTGTATTATATGTTAGAGAAATTGAACATATTGGGGTCAAAATAAAGCTAATCGATGTTCATCTATAGAAGAATTATCAAAACTCTTTTGAAATTAGAATTCGACAAAGTTTGAAATGCAAAATAGAATCAAGTAAAAATAACTTTCAATGATAGATCAAATCGAAAAGACATATTCTCCAAAGACTGGCTTGTTTATTTTCACATCCAAGTCTCTTCGAATTACCTTTATTTCTTACAAGATTACTATTTGCGTTTTCTTGTACAATATTTGTTTGTTAATAAAAATTCTTGATAATTATTAATATCACTAGCTAGAATCCGTGTATACTGCATGGCAGTACTTTTTTCTTTAACGTACGATCTCAAAACTTTAATCTTTCACTCGGTAATAGACACACAAACACTTAACATTATGCACACAGAAGTCCTACGGAGTGATATCTTTATACCACCAATAGCTCATGTCGCCTTAGGGCCTTATAGGCTTATCTCTTTATTGTCTTAGCTCGTTATAGTCTTCTCTGTTATAGCCTTAATCCCTTACAGCTTTACTCCCTTGTAGCGTTCCTTCTTATAGCCCTCTCCCCTTATAGCCTTATCTCCCTATAGCCTCATTCCTTATAACCTGACCGCCTTGTTGCCTTACTCCCTTATAACCTTACCCCTTATAGCGTTTTCCCTTTATAGTCTTACCCCTTACAGGCTTACCATTTATAGCCCTACCTCCTTATAGTTCTATCTCTTTTACCTTGCCCCCTTATAGCCTTACTTAACCTACAACCTTCGACGATTGACCTTTGACCCAGCACAGGTACAGAGACATACAGATGATAAACTTTATCATCTGTCTTTTCTTTTAATTTTTCATTAATTCTCTTTACAGGTTCAAGAACAGTTTGGTCATCATGTTGTTTATCAGTATCAATTTCCATTGCAGATATTATATCAATACCTTGTGAACCTTGTTCATCAGATTTTGGATCAATATCATTACCATCGTACTCAACATTTTTTTGATGATATGTCTTGGATCGCTTATTACCAGCTGATAGTATCAAGCGTTTCCTTGCTAACCATGACGAATAGAATATTGAACCTGATGATGTTGATGGACATTGACGATGTCTTGATGATATAGTATCATAACCACGACCATAACCTTCCAAAAAGACAGCAGAACATTTGAAGTTGTTATAATTATCAGCACTCATTTTCTGAAGAAAACGAAAAATTTAAATAAACAAAATTCGACACGAATATTTTTTATTCGATGTCTCAAAAAAAAATAATAACTAACTATTTCTTCTTCATATTTCATGTCTCATTCGTATAAAGTTCAAAAATATGTGCATGAAAATTAAACAAAGAAAAAATCATTTTATTTTTTGAATATGTATTAATCCAATATCATTAGAATTAAAAAAAAGAGAAAGAAAAAGAATTTCTTGACAATTATATTACAGAATAAGAAAAAGTAAAAGTAAATCAAGAAAAAAAATTGAACAAGATGTAATTATATCAATTATATATAAATTATATATATATATATGCAGGAATATAAAAAGAAAAATGAATGCCAAAATGTACACATATCAAGTTTTCATTCTAAAACATAGTAATTAGCAGCGTTAAAAATTGTAAATTATTTATATAGACAAATCTATCTGATATTTGTTCTTATTCTCGAAAGACCATTCGATATGATAAACCTGAGAAAAATTAGTGCATCAAAGAAACTATTGATACAACATATATATATATATATACAACTATCTAACAAATAAAGCTAATTGCCCAAAATCAATAAAATCAAATTTATTTATTTTTTGTGCCTTTCTAAATGTTTTCATATTTACACGCTTACATTGTTCAAATATGTTGATTTTTTGTTCGACGATAACGATATGCCATTTTTCATCATATTTATCTTTTTTGATTTGCATCTTGTTGTTTCATATTTGTTTATCTAAACGAATTGACATTTAAAAAACAAACACATAAAAAGACATTCTGAAACATTTTTTGAGAAGCTCATTTCTTACTTGTTTTTTTTTGCTTCTTTTAATCGAACTTCTTTATCTATAACGTTTTGAATAAATGATTCTTTAAGTTGATGTTGATGTTGTTCAAGTTGGTGTTGAAGTTCATTATGTTTTATATCAAGTATATCACTAAACTGACATATCTTCTTCATCAACGTTATCGGCAAATCCAGGTTCAGCAAGACGATTACATCGAAACAATTGATAGTATTTTGAATATGTTGTTCCTATTAATTCAAGTATTCTTTCTTCAGTAAGATCATTATGTATCTTGGTTTTTTTAAATCACAAAGATTTTCATTCTCAACTAAACATAAAAAATATTAAAATTTTCTATAATATGAATACATATATGATGATATCAATAAATGCAAATATTATCTTGACAAGCAAAAATGTCTTTATCTCTAAATAAATGTATATCTTTTTTTTTCTATAAGAATCTGTTGATCAAAGAAGAACAACAACTCATTGAAATGGATAAAAATCATTAAGACAAAGTGGTGATATAATAGATATAATGGAGGATGTAATAATGATAATTTATTTCCTAATATTTCTCTCGATTGTTTTCATAAAAGTGTTTGACAGCAATTAGTAGATAACAGTACTTTATAAAGATTTTCTCTTCCAGAAGAACAATTTAAAACTTCACAAAGATCAAATATATTTTTAGGGAGTATAGTCTTATAATATTTGGTACAATAACCATAAACTCTAAGAGTTCTAAATCAATCTTTAGAATGGCATCGCCGCCTCAGCACTCAAGCTGAATAAAATACTGACAACTGAAACGTCTAATTCCATGTAGCAATGTTTGATTGAATTAATTTTGAAGGACAAATAGCAAAATTCAAGATCAACATGTCTTTCATACAATCTAGAAAGAGATATAAGTCGAATGCATTCTAACTAGAAATGAATTCTTTATCTACGATCTTGGAAATACCCGTTAGATCTATAATACTTGAAACTGATTCAAGATCTGAATTATACTTTTCATACTCTCAATAAAATTTCTTGCATCTGAACCTAATACTCTCTTCAACTGCATCAGATATTCCTATCAATTAGTTATATTCAATGATTAGCATCACCTAAATATTTCTCCACGAGTCATGGCAATGATCTACACAAACAAAGTTATAATTGAGTGTTACTTTCAAAAGTAATATCCATGGGATCAGTTCAGATCAACAGAAAATTTCTACATTCGAATTCGGAATCGACATTTTATCCTTGTCACGATGCCCCATAGAAGTTGCAGTTGGCTCTCTCAGTGATTGTGAGTATTATATCATGTATGTGTATACTCTCAGAAAAACATTTTCGCCATCTGGAAGCACAAAATCTGAATGAAACAATCAGTGCCTTCATCAAGTTGAACTTGTTACTAATTCTTGAAATAAAATTTTAGATAATTAAATCTTTTCTAACTTTGAACAACAATCGATAAATATTATCCAGCTCGTACATATTGATTTTCAACTTCAACTGTTTCATTATGTTCAATAATAGCCAGTGGAAGAAGACTCTAAAAAAAACCAGAAAACATTCAAATAAAATATTTTTATTTTACATTTGCTAGAAAATTTTCTTCTGATAATGTTTCATCATCAATTAGAAAACGATAAATTTTGACACCAGTTATATTAAGTTCATTCAGAATATATCGTTAAAAATATTGTAATTCACATTTTTATATCATTATCCTCATGAATACCGATGATTCTTGCGTTCTGCGCAAAGACAGAGATAAAATATGAAATGTCCTCTCTCTTGCGTTCTGTCGATATGTATCAGCTGTCTTACGTTCTATATTTTATCAGCATATCGTATGGATTCTTGCTATGTCATATATCCATATAATTCTGTCGTATTATTAGAAAAATAAATAAATAAATGTTCTTTTTTTTATCATGGTGAATAGTGATTTGTGATAAATAATAATTCGTAATAAATTTTAAGTGAAAAAATCATAAAATTGAATCGCTTATATCTTTCAATACGCTAATCGCCATTTCTCGAATGAACCATCCTCTATTCTTTACATGTTATTTAACAGCTGTTCAAAGATACGACAGAATTGAAATTTTTTTTTCGTTCTGTGAATATGCGTTTCGCATACTCGGTATTCAAGAGGTTAAACTCCCAAGCCAACTAGAACGCTATTGGTACGCACGCAACACGCTTTATGCGCTTGGTACGCGTGTCGCCACATGTACGTACGTGTACAAGTCGTGTTCGTTTGTACGCACGCGTATGTCTAACAACTCCCCATTAAAGAGGCTAGTAATTCAACAATGGTCAAAAAAGACAAAGACTTGTTTGAATATACTTAACGTTTTTAAGTAAATCATCTATATGTTCTTATGTAATTTTCACATAAGTAAATATTATTATATTTTTCCTAGATTTATTCAATCTTCTTTTTCGCAGATTTATTTTAGTTTAGTTTAGTTTAGTTTTTGTACATTTTTCTATATTTATTGGTTTTAGTTTATTTTATGTTATTTTGTACAGTTTTCTTTATTTATTTGCTTTAGTTTATTTTATTTTATTTTCTTATTATTGTTTTGTATTAGTCTTTTTAGTTTTATTTGTTAACGATAACTTTTTGCTGTATTGTGTTTATAGATTTTTAATTTTTTTGTAAAATTTAGTTTTAAATTTTAATAAAATGAAATAAAAATTAATATAATAATTCTAAGCAGTACGTTTGATGAGATATGAGTGACTAATGGAATTTCAAAAGGAGCCAATGAGAAAATTACAAAAATGCATAGATGCACTCTCTCGTGCGCAAGGCGTGCGCGTGTCCGACATGATCAGTGCGTGCATTTCACGTGACGATCGTACGCGTACGAGGTGTGTTGTGCCGTGCGCGTACCAAGCGTGTCGTATGTGTACTAGCAGCGTTCGGGTTGGCTTGGGGTATAAATTGCCATGACTGACAATTGATCATGTAAAGTTTTACTTCTTTTTTTATTGCAATAAAACACATAATGATAGCTTAAGAAAAACATCTTTTCTAAAAAATACTCCATGATCAAATTTCAATAATAGATTTTCTATTCTTTGGATTATTTTTGATAAAAACAATTAATTTCAAATCGATTATCACACAAAAATATATATATATGCATAACTTTGTGAAAATGCAGGTGGAAATAAATATGTAATGAATGAGTATAACACTGCAACGAAGATCATATTTCAAATTTCTTTGAAAATTTTCTTCTTTTTTAAATTTTATTTCGAGTTTTCGACAATTTTCAATTAATTGTCATCATCAGGAAATAGTAACACAAAAAACAAATAGAACTATATATAGCAATACATAAAAGGAATGTACATGTGGTCGTTTATACATCAAAGATCACACATTTTTAAATTGAAACACATTTTAATTAATTCGAATTAATTTAAAGTAAAATGTAATAATTGTGAAAATTGTTAAATAGAAGAAACTAGCAGAGAAAAAATAACAAGGTTAAAAGAACACCAAAAAGATATTAAAAAATGCTCAGAAACATCAAACATAGCAAAACATGTACATGACAAAAATCATTCTTTTAAATTCGATGAATCAAAAAGATTAGCATTGGAAACCAACTGGAAACGTCGTATAGCCATATAACAAAAGTGAATTACCAACAACAATACAAAACACAGTCAAGTCCTTAAAGGACTATTTTATGGACCATAGCAAGTTCTTCGAACTTCCTTAAATTGAAAGACTATCATTTGCCCCAAATTGAAATCCCCAAATCGATCCCCCAAAAAAATCCCCATTTGGGGATGATAAAACAATTCTGGTAACCAAATGGGGATTTTTTCTTTTGGGGATTTGTTTTTGGCATCCATTTACTGTAATATCTAAAAATATAGCAATCCATATCTAAATTATATCAATATTGCCTAACTTAATACAGTAGTATCTATTCTGGTGAAAG